AGGTAGTTTACTACACAGTTATACAATGTATGCGAGTGCGTGTGTATGTTTGCGCGGGCCTGCGCGTGTCACTCCGTGTGTAGCGAAAAGCTTTTTATTTTCGGCTCTGTCCAAGCATATCAAGTTTTGTTTTATTAAAGTTTTCTTTGGCAATCGGCCGTTTTTTCTCGTGTCATGCCACGGTCGTCGGTAAAGATACGGTCACCGTTTGCAACACTTCACTGGGCAGCAGCAGTTCGACAAATGAGCGCGGACACAATCGAAACAAAGGAATGGGGAAAAAAATTAAAAAGAAAGCATCAAGTTATGAAAATATTAAAAAAAAAAAAAAAAAAAGAAGAAGAAATCTTTCTTTAGTCTGTCAGTCATTATTCAATTGATTAATGAATCGATGAGGAAAAAATCCTCTGAATCATAAACAATTGCTAAATGGAGTAGAGAAAGAGAGAGAATTCAAACAGATGAACTGATGAAAAAAAGGTAATAAAGATTTTACTATCGATCTCAGACTGTTCCGATCTATCTAGCGATCGATCTGGGTGACTGGATCTCTCTCTGTCTCTATCTATCTATCTATCTATCTATCTATCTATCTATCTAATTTTGTGTATTCACATCTATCTAAATAGCTATCAGTAATTTATACATGTCGATCTATCTCAATCTCTTAATATCTATCTATCTATCTATCTATCTATCTATCTAGCTAGCTAGCTAGCTAGCCAGCTGGATTTTTCTCTCTCTCTCTCTTTATCTATCTATCTATCTATCTATCTATCTATCTATCTATCTATCTATCTATCTTAGTATGTTCATTATCTATCTAACTGACTGGATCTCTGTCTCTCTCTTTCTCTCTCTCTCTCTCTGTCTCTCTCTCTCTATCTATCTATCTGGCTAGCTTGATATCTATCTATCTATCTTAGTATGTTCATTATCTATCTAACTGACGGGATCTCTGTCTGTCTCTCTCTTTCTCTCTATCTATCTTTCTGGCTAGCTTGATATCTATCTATCTATCTATCTATCTATCTATCTATCTATCTATCTGACTAGCTTGATATATTATCATAATAGTTAATCAAAAATATATTACTCATTCCTAATGAGTCCAGTGAATATACAAAAATGAAAAGGGGCGTAAGGCAAGGATGTGTCTTCTCACCGGACTTATTCAACCTATACAGCGAGACAATTGTGAGGGAACAGGAGCTCCTACCAGGATTCATCATTGGCGGTCACAATCTTACGAACATAAGATATGCAGATGACACGGTACTGATAGCAGACACGGAAAAGAAACTACAAAACATTCTACAGAAGGTAGCGAGAGAGAGAGAGAGAGAGAGAGAGCGAGAAGAAAGGACTAACCATAAGCTACAAGGGAGAATACATGGTCATCAGGATGACCCCTAAATGTGATTTGCCGGTCGGGGTTACTAACATCAAGCATATGCGCAAGTTTAAATATCTGAGAAGTGTTTTGACGGAGGACGGTAGGTTTGACATGGAGATCCGAAGATGGAATTGGATAACAAAGAATACATTCCTGTTGTGGATTCCGAGATGAAATTCGGTCTCCAAAGAATGAGAAACGCAAGAATTAAATATAAGAAATAAAATGTATTTACACAATAATACAAAGGGTAATACTGTTAGTAAATCCAGGAACGCGGTTAGTAGCAATAATAATTATAATAATAATAATAATAATATATATATATATATATATATATATATATATATATAGACTCGAAGTAGGACTTCCTTAGAGTCTACGTGCTTTTAACTGTGACTTCTACAAGCGGTTACCTCACACTATTACTCTACCTCCAACTCAATCACAATCTCTGCTCTCTCACTCTCTCTCTCTCTATTTTGACTGACTCTGGGTATTTAACGGCAGCAGTCCAAGTAACACTTTGGTCGAGTCCACTTATATAAAAAAGGGGAGGACACCATAACAATTCCAAGAGATTGGCAGAGTACTGCGAGACAGGGGGATTTTTTTTGGTGACAAAGACAAAAGTACTGAGCTGCTATGTGACATCTGTCCTCCTATTCGGCAACTGGATGAATTGCACTTTCAGTTAACTAAAAGGAAAACGGCACTGATTAATCGATGACGTCCATTTCTGCTTCATGACAATGCTCGGCCACATGTTGCCAGGATGACAGTATAGACGCTCACTGACTTGAGACACGAGACTTTGCCACACCCACAATATTCTCATGATATCTAGCCAGCTGACTACCACTTTTTCCAAGAATTTTCACAATTCAAAGATTTCTTGGTGTCCAAACCTTTAGAGTTTTATGACGAAGGAATAAAAAAATTCATAACTCAATGGCAGTATAGATGTTCGCCATTCACATTTGGATTGATTTAAACACTAAATATGTTAATTCAAGATTAAAATTTGTTTTTAAAATCGGGCTTTAATCTCCAAACAACCTGATTAAATGTTATTAGAAATAATTATAAATCGATTAACAATTCAGTAGCATTTCCATTACACCATTAGCACAATTACAATAGATTCTTATAACAAATTCATATAGAATTATTTTTTCTGATCAAAACATTTTTCTAATAAAATCATTACCAATGCATTCTTAATATAAATTTATTAACAATAAATTTTTCTAATAAAATTATTTCTAATGAATTCTTAATATAAACTGATCAGCAATAGAGTTTTCTAACAAAATTATTTACAATGCATTCTTAATATTAACTAACAATAGAGTTTTCTAATAAAATTATTTCCAATGCGTTCTTAATATAAACTGATCAGCAATAGTTTTCTAATAAAATTATTTTCCATGCATTTTTAATATAGATTTATTTACAATGCAGTTTTCTAATAAATTATTTCCACTGTTTTCTTAATATAAATTGATTAACAATGCAGTTTTTTAAGAAAATTGTTTCCAATGCATTCTTAATATAAATTTATTAACAATGCAGTTTTCTAATAAAATTATTTCCCATGCATTCTTAATATAAACTGATCAACAATACAGTTATCTAAGAAATATGTTTACAATGTATTCTTAATATAAATTGATTAACAATGCAGTTTTCTAATAAAATTATTTTCCATGCATTTTTAATATAAATTGATTAACAATACATTTTTCTAACAAAATTATTTACAGTGCATTCTTAATATTAATTGATTAACAATGCAGTTTTTTAATAAAATTATTTCTAATGAATTCTTGATATAAACCGATTAAAAATACAGTTTCATAATAAAATCATTTCCAATGCATTCTTAATATAAAATAATTTACAATACAGTTTTATAATAGAAATCAATTATAATGCCTCCTGACATTAAAAAAAAAACGTTTTACAATGCATCATCTATTCAAAGTATTTTATGTGGCAATTCCATATTAAAACACAATGTACAATGCACTAAAAAAATAACTTCTTATAAATTATTTTAGTTAGCTTTTTCTTTTCAGCATTCGTAGTGTCAGCCTCTATGTAATTGTGTGAAGGAATAAAAGTTTTGACGGGTTTGTAATTGTTTTCATCAACAGTAAGCCTGTACTGCGTATTGTTTTGAATGGAAACAACGATGTTTATGTTTTGAAAAGGAAACAAATCGGTTCTTTCTGCCTTCAACAAAACATGGCCATTTTGTTTTGGATTACTAACATATGAAACCGTAGAAAAGAAAGACAAACAATAAAGAGTTCAGACTTAAAATACAAAAGAAAATCTTTTTTTATTTATGGAAAATGATTTGATTTACAATATAATCTCCGTTCGTTTCATTAGAAAAAAAAAAAACAAATGAAAAATATCCCTACCCCTTTCATTGTTCTCTCCTGTCTCTCTGAGATTTTGTGTGTAAACATAGATTCCTCAGTCGATTGAACGATATGGATATTTATAATAAAATAATTTTCAATGCATTCCTATAATAAAGACATTTAGAATAAATTCTTATAACAAATTATATAAAACGCATTCTTATCATAAAAACATACTTATAATAAAATCATTTACAATACTTTTTCATAATAAAATCATTTACAATGATTTCTTATAATAAAATCATATATAATGTATTCTATAAGAAAAAACATTTACAAGGCTTTCTGATAATAAATTCATTTACAATGCATTCTAATAAGAAAATCATTTACAATGCTTTTTCACAATAAAATCCTTTACAATGATTTCCTATAATAAAATGATATATAATGCATTTTTATATTAAAATCATTATAATGCTTTCTTACAATAAAATCATTTATAATGCATTTTATAAGAAAAAAAATTTACAAGGCTTTCTGATAATAAATTCATTTACAATGCATTCTTATAAGAAAATCATTTACAATGCATTCTTATATTAAAATCATTTACAATGCATTCTTATAATAAAATCATTTACAATGCATTCTTATAAAATCATTTACAATTCATTCTTATAGTAAACTCATTTACAATGCATTCTTATTATGAAATCATACACAATGCATTCTTATAATAAAATCATTTACAATGCATTCTTATAGTAAAATCATTTACAATGCATTCTTATAATAAGTTCATTTACAATGCATTCTTATAATAAATTTATTTACAATGTATACTTATAGTAAAATCATTTATACTGAATTTTTATACTACGTAAAATCATTTACAATGATTTCTTATAATACAAAGTAACCAAAAAAGTTCTGTCCGGTTTTGATTAGTCATTGAATAAAGTTGAAATATATACGAAATGCGTGTAGCAATTGTTTTCAAATTCGGACAGCCGGAAGTAGGAACATTATAAAAAACACGCGCACCGTGCCCGGCCATTAGTTATAAGCCGGACAGCTGTGAGAAGGATGGAAGTGTCTAGAGATCTCGTTCAGGGCTGTTTGCTTTACGACTTTAAAGTGGGCTTATCAGCAGCTGCATCAAGTCGCCGCATATGTCAAGCGTTTGGGGATAGTGCTGTGGATGAACGTACTACAAGGCGTTGGTTTCGAAAATTCAAGTCGGGAGATTTGTCTCTCCATGATGAGCCTCGCAGTGGACGACCACAGGTCTTGAATGACGGAGTCCTGAAGGCGTCCATTGAAGAGGACAGTAGTCTAACGTGTGGTGAACTTGCAAAACAGTTCAACGTTTCCGATGAAACAGTTAGACTTCACCTGCACCGCCTAGGTAAGACGTACAAACTGAGCAAGTAGGTTCCGCAAACGCTGTTGGAGGTCCACAGAGGACAACGAGTGGCAGCCTGCGTGTCGCTGCTTTCTCGCCACCGTACCGCATCCTTATTCAATCGAGTGCTTACCAGTGATGAAAAGTGGTTTCTGTACGAAACTCCCAAGCGTTCCAAACATTGGTTGCCTCCTCAGGATGCTTTCCCTCACACCGCAAGACCGCCTATGCACCCACGCAAGATTATGCTTTGTGTCTGGTAAACAGGTCGTCAAGTGGTTGATTATGAACTGCTATCATCGGGACAAATGGTCACTGGACACCTATACTCGCAACAAATGAAACGTGTGCAACAGGCATTGCGCCAGAAGGAGCCAGTACTGGTGAATCGCAAAAGTGTGCTTTTCCTCCATGACAACGCCAGACCGCATGTCGCGTGAGTGGTCAGGGATACCATACAGCAACTTGGGTGGGAGACTTTGTGCCATCCACCTTATTCACCTGACCTTGCGCCATCCGATTACCACCTCTTCCACTCCCTGGATAATCATCTTCGTGGGAAATCCTTCACCAATGAAGCAGAGTTGCGCAAAGCTCTCACGGATTCTTTGCGTCAAAACCCCCGAGTTCTACCGCAAGGGCATTGAACAGCTGGAGACACGTTGGCAGAAGGTGCTGGATGCCGATGGCGATTACTTCGAAGACTAAATATAAGTTACACATACTGTGAAACGTTTTCTTTTTTTTCCTTTAAAAACTGACAGAACTTTTTTGGTTACCTTGTATAATCATCTACAAGGCTTTTATTATAAGAATGCATTGTAAATGATTTTATTATGAGAATAAAATCATTTACATTCTTATAATAAA